ACTTTAAAGTGTAATTCCAGCCAAATCTTTGCTTTAGCTTTGGATAGTATAAAACCTGTTGGGGTTTTCATGCTAAAAATGAATGTAGAAGAATTTGGCAAGTGTAGGACTTGTCCTGGAAGCATACCTCCTAACCGTCCAGGATTTGACAGAACATATATCTGACCCCCCACCCCACCCTGTAGCACAAGTTCTTTCCCTTCCCAAAGTGCCCACCCCCCCAGTATATATCTGACCCGCTCCCCACCCCACCTTGTAGTACAAGTTCTTTCCCTTCCCAAAGTGCCCCCCCCCCAGTATATATCTGACCCCCTCCCCACCCCACCTTGTAGCACAAGTTCTTTCCCTTCCCAAAGTGCCCACCCCCCCCAGTATATATCTGACCCGCTCCCCACCCCACCTTGTAGCACAAGTTGTTTCCCTTCCCAAAGTGCCCACCCCCCCAGTATATATCTGACCCCCTCCCCACCCCACCTTGTAGCACAAGTTCTTTCCCTTCCCAAAGTGCCCCTCCTCCCAGTATATATCTGACCCCCTCCCCACCCCACCTTGTAGCACAAGTTGTTTCCCTTCCCAAAGTGCCCACCCCCCAGTAAATATCTGACCCCCTCCCCACCCCACCTTGTAGTACAAGTTCTTTCCCTTCCCAAAGTGTCCCTCCTCCCAGTATATATCTGACCCACCCTCCCCACCATATAGAACAAATCCTCTTCCCTCTCTAAGTGCCCCTCCAGTACATATTTGACCGCCCCACCTTTCAGCTCAAGTCCTCTCCCCTCCCAAAGTGCCCCCCCAGTACATATCTGACCCACCCTCCCCACCTTCAAGCACAGTCCCCTCCCTTCCCAAAGTGCCCCTCCAGTACATGTCTGACCCACCTTTTCACCTTCTAGCACAAGTTCTCTCCATCTCAAAGCACCCCCGAGTACATATCTGACTCCCACCCCACTTCACCTTCTAGTACATGTCCTCTCTCCTTCCAAAATGCCCCCTAGTACATTTCTGAGCCTCCTCCCCACCATCTAGTACAAGACCTCTCCCCTCCCAAAGTGCCCCAATAGTACATATTTGCCCCCCCCCCCCACCCCACCTTGTAGCACACGTTCTTTCCCTTCCCAATGTGCCCCCCTCAGTACATATCTGACCCACCCTTCCCACCGTCTAGAACAAATCCTCTCCCCCTCTCAAAGTGCCCCTCCAGTACATATCTGACCCCCCCCTATTTATAAGCACAAGTCCTCTCCCCTCCCAAAGTGCCCGCCCCCAGTAGATATCAGACCCACCCTCCCCACCTTCTAGCACAAGTCCTCTTCCTTCCTTCCCAAAGTGCCCCTCCAGTACCTGTCTGACCCACCTCTTCACCTTCTAGCATAAGTTCTCTCCACCCCAAAGCACCCCCGAGTACATATCTGACCCCCCCCCGCACTTCACCTTCTATTACATGTCCTCTCTCCTTCCAAATTGCTCCCTAGTACATTTCTGAACCTCCTAACCAACTTCTAGCACAAGACCTCTCCCCTCCCAAAGTGCCCCACAGTACATATCTGCTCCCACCCCCACCTTTTAGCATAGGTTCTCTCTCCTCCCAAAGTTTCACCCCAGTACATATCTGACTCCTACTTTACCTTATAGCACAAGTCCCCCCCAAAGCACCCCCAAGTACATATCTGATCCCCTACTGCACCTTCTATCACAACTCTTCTCTCCTCCCAAAATACCCCAAGTACATATCTGAGCCTCCTCCCCCCCACCTTCTAGCATAAGTTCTCTCCCCTCCCAAAGCACCCCACAATACTTACCTGACCTCCCTCCCCACCGTACAGCACAAGACCTCTCTCCTTCTAAAGCAACCCCCCCCCCCCCAGTACATATCTGACTCCCTCTCCACCTTCTAGCAAAAAACCTCTACCTTTTCCAAAAGAGCCCCCCAGCACATATCTTACCCTCCTCTCCCTTCCCAAAGTGCCCCTAGCACAAATCTGAAGCTTGGGCTTTGTTTAACCATGCCCCTTAAGCCCCTCACACTGTAAATTTTGACAGCGTCCACTTTTTTGCCTCTGCTCACTAGGCATGACCTAGATCTCCAACTCCCTCAAGTAGCCTACATTTTCAAGTTTGAAAATTGGGAGGCATGCTGGAAGGGCAACCTATGAAATTGATATTAACTCTAAAATGTATTTCTAAATGTGTACCAGAACCCAACACGTTTTGGGGATCTGAGTGCCCTTCATCAGGGCTAAAAGAACAGAACATATTCAAAGTGTAGCATATATAAACTAAGATACATCCTTAATGTATACTGTTCATAAATATTGTTGTCTGGGTCTCTGCTGGGAAGATGTTGTCTTATGTCCTGTTGTGGACCATTGTTACTGGGACAGGAAGTCAGGAGCATCTCTCTGACAACATTAAAGCCGGCGGAGGGTTTTTATTGCTCTATATGACACCATTGTAGAAACGTTATGTCTTAATGACCATTCTTACATGGATAAAAAGTGGGAAAAACCTTTAAAAATAGGAATGTAAACAGCAATATAAAGAAAAATTAGCTTTGGTTGGAATTCTGCTTTTAACGAGAACAAGCAGGTATAAGTTGGCAAACCAGTACCTTATCTTTCGTGTGTTGTTTTATTGTCTGCAAAAAATGGATGATTTTTGCATAATCTTTACATAATAAATATGTTTATATACTGTGGGCAGTTCCGACTGTATGCTTGAAGAGATCATGGCTGAATGAGTGTTACTTTATACCCTCTCCCAGGTGCATAAGGTATATTTCAGAGCAAAAGCCAATGAAGGGTCACTGAAGTGTTCTGTTATGTTTTTAGGAAAGGAACGAGGGCGCCCACTAAGTGTAGTATATAGGAAAAGATTTTATGAAAAATCACAACTGGCAACTCACAAGATGCATACGATCATGTAATCCATCCAGTGTGGTTTGTGGTTGAGCCTCAGTGTGTCTTCAGGAGCCAGGAAGCAGATGCTGTTTAGGACAAAATGAAACTGGAAATCCTGGAGCCACCCTAGACTGCACAAGATCAGAAAAAGAAGCAGTTAGCTCCGAAACATGTGACCACACCCGCCATGTTGTGACTCCTCAGTCCATGTGCTCCAGGATGGCTCCAGGATGTCCAGTTTCATCTCTGGTGTCCTACATAGCTCTCGACAGTGGCATGGACGGAATACATGCTTATTCTTATACATCTTGTGAGTTGCAACTTGTGATATTTTAATAAAGTTTTTTTCTATAGTTTGCACTTAGTTGGCACCCTCTGCTGTTTCTTTTATATATTCAGTCTCATTGAGGAGCTGCCATGGATATTTTTTTGGACCTATGGACTTTTTAGTATAATCCTACACCCCCACAGCACATTCACGTGTATGATTACGTTATAGCTTCGCTGTATCCCTACCTGCGCCATTCTCGATAATTCCCTGTGTTGTTTTTAGTGTGGAGTAAACAAATACCATGCTGATGGCACTCTAAGCACTCAATGCCTTAATTGCATTAAAAAAACAGAAAATGGAATGTTAATTGTGTTTCATGCATACCAACCATTAATTAAATACTCTAACATCTAACATGGTATTCTATCTGCTTGCTATACCCTGACTTCTTTGGAATAAGAACAATAATAATTGCCTTGAGAATTTGGAGTTCCCTCAACCTGATATGTGTTTGGGCCATATGTGCCGGAGCTGGCTGTGACAAGCTAGACTTGTGCCCAAGAAAACTAAAGAGGAGAAGGAGAGTTATTTTTTGTATTATCCTCTTTCGTTGTGATCTTTCTTTTTGAAAGTCTTGTACTTGTCTTGGTCACTTCTTGTAGTACAAACTGATTATTGATAACTGGAAAGTCACATAAATATTATGGTTTTTGGGGACATTTCCTGTTCATTTGACTTGAGAATTTACTCAGAAATCTCTGTATTCAGGTAGAACATATCAGAAATGAAAAACAATTTTATAAGGCCATCAGAACATTGGATGTATTTTTGTCTTTACCAAATCCTAAAAGTTGCCTACGCCACCACAACTCATACTGTTTTACAGCAATGGCAACTATAGATTTAACTTTAACTTCATACAATAAAAAAAAAATATTTGGTAGTATTAATGTCTGTTTTTATCTGTAGAATCTTGTAAAGTCAATTATAACATTAAGAGGAACCCACTGTTGCTTTTTCTTCTTGGAACATCTATGATGAAGGGTTAGAGCAATGACCCCACCAGACCTGTCACTGTCATAATCCAATATATCCCAATCCTTAAAATGTTACAATGGATGTAATAAAATAACAATACAGTTTTATTTTTTTTTTTTAGTTGCACGTATTTAAAATAATATCTTTTTCTTGTCATGTTGAAGGATGTTGGTGACATTTTTCTCAAGGGTCATGGCAGCAATCAGCTAGGGAGGTCAACTGTTTTTCTGAGAATTGTGATTCATATTTTTTAATGCTTGTTCAAAAAAAATGTAAAGTTTGTGAAGCGGAGTTCTCAGTATCTTTTCAAGTCTTCATAGTATAAGGCAACTGTATAACGGTCTATAATTGCTCACAATAAATTTTCAAGTCTACATTATATAAGGCAATTGTGTCAAAAGTAACCCCTATTACTTAAAGTGTTACTAAACCCACAACACTTAAATCCATCTGTATATGTAGTAAAGCTTGCTTGTTATACTCACTGTAGAACCTAAAGTGTTAATCCTCCACATTGTCAAAAAAGTTTGTTTGATCCTGCCTTCTCTGATCCTCTCCTTCTTCTACTGTCTCCAATCAATTTCCTGATAGAACAGAGCCTTGGGAGCAAGCTGCACATGCTCAGTTTGTTAAGTATTGCTAGAGAGATTTGTTTTCTTGGGAGAGTGCATGTTATAAGTACAGGCCAATCAGTACTGTCCAGACAGAGGGTCGGGGATCATGCAGCCTCATAGGACAATCAGGGGAAAAGAAAATGAAAACTCCTCCTACAAGCTTTAATCCGTGCTCTGCTGGACACTGATAGAAGTCACAAGACTGCTATGTACTGCTGATGAGAAAAGGTATTTAGCAGTTTATATTTACTAAAATATTTGCATTTCCATGTTTGTGTACTGTGGGAGACTGAATATAGTGAATGCAGGGTCCAGGGAGACCAGATATAGTGAATGCAGAGTCCGGGGAGACCAGATTTAGTGAATGCAGGGTCCTGGGAGAGCAGATATAGTGAATGCAGGGTCCCGGGAGACCGGATATAGTGAATGCAGGGTCCGGGGAGACCAGATACAGTGAATGCAGGGTCCAGGGAGACCAGATATAGTGAATGCAGGGTCCGGGGAGACCTGATATAGTGAATGCAGGGTCCGGGGAGACCTGATATAGTGAATGCAGGGTCCGGGGAGATCAGATATAGTGAATGCAGGGTCCGGGGAGATCAGATATAGTGAATGCAGGGTCCAGGGAGACCGGATATAGTGAATGCAGGGTCCGTGGAGACCGGATATAGTGAATGCAGGGTCCGGGGAGACCAGATATAGTGAATGCAGGGTCCGGGGAGATCAGATATAGTGAATGCAGGGTCCAGGGAGACCGGATATAGTGAATGCAGGGTCCGTGGAGACCGGATATAGTGAATGCAGGGTCCGTGGAGACCAGATATAGTGAATGCAGGGTCCGGGGAGACCAGATATAGTAAATGCAGGGTCCGAGGAGACCAGATATAGGGAATGCAGGGTCCAGGGAGACCGGATATAGTGAATGCAGGGTCCAGGGAGACCGGATATAGTGAATGCAGGGTCCTGGGAGACCGGATATAGTGAATGCAGGATCCGGGAAGACCAGATATAGTGAATGCAGGGTCCGGGGAGACCAGATATAGTGAATGCAGGGTCCGGGGAGACCAGATATAGAGAATGCAGGGTCCTGGGTTTAGTAACACTTTAAAAAAACTTTGATGTTCAGGCAAGTGGTTATGCTTAGCATCGTGATTGCGGTTGGATTTTCGAGAGACATTTTTTTGAGGATTTTTATTTTTTTAATTAATGACTTATTGAATGTTTGGGTGTCATAAACATACTGTATGTAATTGGCACACTTGCACATTACTTTGCATGCATGCATGCACATACTATTAAAAATATATCTCATGATCGATCCGTTTTCTGTGTAGGATGGGAAAAACTAAATCTATGTGCTAAATGTATGGATAGACTTTGGAAGGATGCCATAAGTCACTAGTCAGTGACTCCGTGACCCTTGTGAATGTAATCATCTTCCAAAATCATGACTATGCCTCCTTTGCCACAGTCACCAAAGACCTTGTCTGGGTTTTTATGAGTAGTGAAGTCACCTGTGGACAACTGCATGGAGTCTTCACTGACATTTTATAAAGCAAATCTACATATATTTTAGCTGTGTGTGAAGGAAGAACCAGGATCCTGGAAACTGGAGGCATCTTAAAGACCATTAACAGTGCAGTAGTTGTTGAGATCCTCCTAAAACACATAGTTACATATTGACATAATTAAATCAGGTAAAAAAAAATACAAGTTCAGCTAGTTCAACTAAAATAAAGAAAACTGAATAAATAAATAAATTGAAAACCTCAATATACAGATCCCCATACCCACGGTCAATCCAGAGGAAGGCAAGACACCCTTAAAGCATGGTCCAATTTGATGCACCAGAGAAAAAAAAAAAATCTTCTTGATCCCCTAATGCACATGTGTGAAGCACAATGGCTCGTGAGCTGAATCCAGGGCTTTTCATGTTGTCCCCTCACCTCTCCTGCAGCTGCAGCATTCCCCTCGTCTCCACCCCCACCTTATCTTAACAGTTGGCAGTAGAGAAGAGGACAGAACTCCTCCAACAGATCCTGCACCTCTCTGTGCAGTTGAAGAACCCCCTTGTCTCTGTCTCCCCTGATCTCAGCATTCAGCAGACTCTGACAGCTGACTCCAGCCCTCCTCTGGTCCTCCTCCAGATCCTGCACTTTCTGATTCCCAGCTCTGCCCCCAGTTTCTTCCTGGCTGCAGAGCAAGGAAAGGTAAGTCATCTTGACATCTGATGGGGGAGAAGGGGGCTCTGGACGTCTATTCATACATATACAACTGGCCCTTTGAGGGCAACCAAAATGCTGATGTGGCCAGTGATGGCTGCTGACACAATGCTGATGTGGCTTCTCCCCTAAGGCATTTTAATATGAAACAATCAGTTGTGAATGTAAGAGTGAACCTACACTTTGAAATATTTGTAAAAAAAATATAGATGATAACAATTAGTGGATAAATCTTTTGTTGTTCAAAAGCACGAGTCCTTGTCTTCTTAAATACCTGCAGTGTTAAACAGTTGCCATAAAAATGGAGACGAATGGCAATTTCTGAATATATTTTAAATTTCCTTTAATATTATCTGAAAGATGTTGGCCCATTTTAAAAATATCCATAATGTTTTGCCTTAATGCCATTTTATATATTTCAATGTAGCTCAAACCATGCCCTGGAACCTGGGGTATGAAAGATATTTTTGATCTCCTCTGGTGTTACAAAATGAAATAAACAGCTTAGTAGACAGTTTACTTGTTTACTTGCATGTAATTATCATCAATGCTTTTTGAAGAGAGATCATGTCTAAGTGGTCTGGTCTTTTATAGATCTTTACCCATCTCTCAGCTCTCCGCAAGCCTTTCCTCCCTGTGTGTTAGCCCTAGGTCAGACGTGAGCAACCCCCGAAGGCTCATTTCAATCTATAATAAGTATATTAGCATAGATAGAGCTGATATTTCTAGAGACATGAGCAAATGGTGGCTGAAAAGGTTAGCAACTACAAATGGGCTGCATACATTACACCATAGACATATGGATCAGGATTAATGCTTTTAGGCTGCTTTTACTATCGCACCCAATATAACACAAGTAAACATGAGAAACATCCTCTCTGCATATTCTTAGTGGGGTCAATGGAATTCTGTCAATTCACTTCCAAGGTATCTCAACAAAGTTTTAAATCTGCATTCCAGAATACTACAACAAAAACATAAAGCATAAAAAGTAACAGCACAGGAGTTACAAAAGAATACTAATGGGCATACTGCATGAATACAATTCTAGTTGATTTTATTATTTTTTTAGAGAGCTTACCTATCCAGTCTATCATGAATGCTGCTGCCAGACTCATCCACCTTACTAACCGTTCTGTATCTGCCACCCCTCTCTGCCAATCCCTCCACTGGCTTCCACTCAGTGTCCTCCATCCCTCTCTGCCAATCCCTCCACTGGCCTCCACTCAGTGTCCTCCATCCCTCTCTGCCAATCCATCCACTGGCCTCCGCTCAGTGTCCTCCACCCCTCTCTGCCAATCCCTCCACTGGCCTCCTCTCAGTGTCCTCCACCCCTCTCTGCCAATCCCTCCACTGGCCTCCTCTCAGTGTCCTCCACCCCTCTCTGCCAATCCCTCCACTGGCCTCCTCTCGGTGTCCTCCACCCCTCTCTGCCAATCCCTCCACTGGCCCCCACTCAGTGTCCTCCACCCCTCTCTGCCAATCCCTCCACTGGCCTCCTCTCAGTGTCCTCCACCCCTCTCTGCCAATCCCTCCACTGGCCTCCTCTCAGTGTCCTCCACCCCTCTCTGCCAATCCCTCCACTGGCCCCCACTCAGTGTCCTCCACCTCTCTCTGCCAATCCCTCCACTGGCTCCCAGTTGCCCAACGGATAAAATTCAAAACATTAACAATAACATATAAAGCTATCCACAACACTGCCCCAATTTACATATCCGATCTTATCTCTAAATATCACCCAAACCGTACATTCCGCTCCTCGCAAGACCTCCTGCTCTCTAGATCCCTATCTCCTCCTCCCATGCTCATCTCCAAGACTTCTCCAGGGCGTCACCCATCCTCTGGAACTCCCTACCCCAATCTAACAGACTATAACCTACTCTACTTACCTTTAGGCAATCATTGAAAACCTATCTCTTCAGGGAAGCCTATCCCGCCCTCTGCTAATACTGGTATCCTCTACGCTTCCAACCACTCCATCCCCCACAGTTTTACCTATTGTACCATTCACCCCTCCCTCCTAGATTGTAAGCTCCAAGGAGCAGAGCCCTCAATTCCCTCTTGTATTGAACTGTATTGTTACTGTACTGTCTCCCACTATAATGTAAAGCGCTGCACAAACCGTTGGCGCTATATAAACCCTGTATAATAATAATAATACCTCTTTGGGTCTTGCCATGTTCCAGAAGTTCCAGCCTGTGGCACCATCCAAACCTCAACCCAACTACCCACTGCATTCAATGTAATTTGATTCCTTATTGAATCCCTTCAAGATCACAAAATCATTTCATAAGTTATTATTATTATTATAATACAGGATTAATATAGCACCAACAGTTTGTGCAGCACTCTACAAAATGAAGGCAGACATTACAGATTGTAAGCTCCAAGGAGCAGGGCCCTCCTTACCCTCTTGTATTGAACTGTATTGTTGCTGTATTGTCTCCTGTTATATTGTAAAGCGCTGAGCAAACTGTTGGCGCTATATAAAATCCTGTATAATAATAATATAATAATACAATTACAATACAATTGTACAATTGATACAAGAGTAATCAGAGGGCACTGCTTGATAGAGCTTACAATCTAAGTAATATGTCCTTGCAGTGAAAATGTTTAACCTATAAGTAGGGAATAGAGACTTACATTTGAACTGAACACTAGCTGGTTCATCCGAATGCCTTCATCCAAAGGGACAAACATAAATGTACGTGACAGCTTCCGACAGTCAAAGGTTGCTAAGGAAGCAGCAGTTGCTTCCACCCACCATGTCCTTGACAGCCAATTATTTCACCTGGTCCATTCACGTACATGGAGCGGAATCCTCAGCCACATAAACACATAGGCAGGGATCAGAAGGGCTTCATCATTGCTTAAATATGGCCATTTGGCAATATTTCTGCAAACATATTGCCCAAATAAGACCATGGACATATTTTGGCAATGATGTCACCAATGACCCTGCTCCTTCCCTTATATAGCTGATGACAAGCTAGAGGTAGTGCTGTGATTGGTCATGTGTGCCAGGTCATCGGGTTTAATTTTTTAAATTTTTTGGGCATGCATCGTGATTGTGGTTGGATTTTCGAGAGACATTTTTTAAGGATTTTTATTTTTTTCATAAATGACTTGTTGAATGTTTGGGTGTCTTTATTTCTAGGTGACACCCCTTACTCATTCACATGAGGGAAGGACTGTGGTGCTCTGTGTCCCTGGGACACAGTGGATCACCAACTGCAGTAAAGAGCCATTAATGTAGGCTCTATCGCGTGATCAGCTGTGTCCAGTCACAGCTTATCACATGTAAATAGGAAATGCCAGTTATCGAAGTCCTCTCCTCATGCTGACAGCGTGTGCTGTCAGTGTAGACCATCAGTGCCACCTTTCAGTGCCCATAATTGCCACCTGTCAATGCCCATCAATGCCAGATACCAGTGCCCATAAGTGCCACAGATCAGTGCCAATCAGAGCTGCCTTTCAGTGCCAACTTTCAGTGCCAGTCAGTGCTGCCTATCAGTGCCAGTCAGTTCCACCTATCAGTGCCCATCAGTTCCCACCCTCTGTCCAGATACACTTCTACTGTGAGGATGAGGTGGTGCTGCTAAGTGGTGTTGCCATGGTCTGGATAAGACTACCGTTTGGTCCTGGTCCAAACCGCAGTCCGCCATTTGGTGATGCCACCTCCAAAGGATTGTCATCCTTTCAATATGTGATTGTGCATCACAGCAGTATGGGCGAATCAGGAGACTATGTACATTACTTTACAAATCTTTAGCTGTTCAAATATTTTCCATCTGTTTCAGCTGTTTCCCTAAAGCTGTCCTTTAAATCTGTTATTAAAAAAAAAAAAAAAAACATTCTAG